ATATATATATGTGTGTGTGTGTGTGTGTGTGTGTGTGTGTGTGTGTGTGTGTGTGTGTGTGCGTTACATGCATAGATAATCGATACTCACATGCAATTACATTTTTAATTTTTTATATTCATAAATTAAAAGACTAAAAACTTTAGTTATAAAATACAATTGAATATTAAAGCTGTTCATTTGTTTTGATCTAATAGTCGTTTTACTTATAATTATGACAGTTTTACACTATCAACATAATTCTTTTTAATTATTTTTTTTTTTACAAAAAGTGAGTCATGTACACAAAAGATAAAGAGGAACAAGAGACATTACTAGTAACTAATTATATAATATTTCTAAAGGAGCTGTGAACATGGAATTAAACCAGATTTAGCTAAAAGCCCAGAAGATTCAGAAAAATGAGTTATGTGTAATAATAATGGAGTGACACAAAAAGTAAGTACTGAAGTACTGAAATGTGTTTAATACTTTATATAAAAAGTTATTTGAATGATGGCAGCTAAAGATGCCTCTCATATGGAGATTGGAGTCAAATGAGTTGCTCAGGTGTGATTTTTTTTACAGACTTCAAGTGTAAAAAGCTTGATGGTTCTGTGGGTCTCGTCTATCAAATCTGATCTTTAATTTGTATTTTTTGTTGGTTTCAAGTCAGGTGATTGGCTGAGCCATTCTAGAGCTTGATTTTCTTTCTCTGAAACCATTTGAGCTTTTCCTTGACTGTATTTTGGATCTTTATCTTGCTGAAATGTCCACCTTGGTTTCATCGTTTACCTTGGTTTCATGAAGCAGTGAATATTAGTTTACAGTGATGAAGGGCAGAGGCTTGCTGAAGAGAGATTTTAACTGCCTTTCTACACCTCCCTTTCTTCACGTGTTCCATACTTTTTCCCTGTTTAATTAGATTTTTATCATGCATACCTTAATTTGTAAACTAATTAGATCTGGTTTCTTTGGGTATATGGATTTGTTTGGTTGTTACCAACATCCGGGGAAATTTTCAAGTCAACGGCATCTTTAGAAATATGTTTTCTGAAAAAAAATGATGACGTGTTCAATACTTTTTTTCTCCTAAATTAACAAGTTTGCACCAGCAAGAATAAAAAGACTTTTAAAAATCTTGATACACTTTTATTTAAATAGCTTTTTCGGGTTGGGGGGTGGGATGTAACAACTCAAAATAAAAATTTAAGGAGCATTAGATAGCATATAGGTGCTATACATGTCATTTTGTCTCTTTTTGTTGAGCATGCAAATTAAACAGATGCTAATTAAACATACTACAAAATGGACTATTCCGAAAACAGGATTACATGTAGATAAATACTTCACATCATGCAGGTTATACACAAATTGGCCTTTTTTGGACAAAGCCAATGTTTCCAAACTTTCCACAATGCCCAATACAGTGTAAGAAAAAGAAGACTACAAGTACTCATACAATATCAATATAATACTAACTCATATAAAAATATAAATATGATATTTGCATAGAACTGTGAGTTTCCTGAAAGGGAAAATGTGTCGTTGTCCCATGTAATGCACAACTTTCCGTCTTTCTGCAGCTTCATGCATCGCTTTCATCAGACTTTCATCTTTTATTCTTCCCTTTTCTGTCTCTTTTTATCTTCTCACTGGTCCAGTTCGTGACTGTCTTGGCTCCTAGGTCGATAGTGACGTGCGCAAAATTCTCTGATGCGAATACATGCCTCGATCATCATCTCCTCCGGGACTGTCACTACAATTCGGAAGTAGTTTGGGTATTCAAATGCCTGAAGAGAGAAACCACATGAAGGTCAGAATGCAGTCAGTATATCTGTGGCAAACAAGTGAAAATGTGTCACAGACTAAGGTGAGCTAGGGACATGAATAACTCACCGTAGCGGGTAAACAGAACACAGATTGCTCAGTGACCAGCCGTTCAGTGAACTCCACATCATTCTGGAATTCTGGGAAATGCTCCATCTCGATCCCCACCTGAGAATGAGCCAGCAGAAAATGCATTTACCCTCTGCTACCTTGCAACTTTGCACTTTTTGCAAACATGCTCACTTCTTAATATGGACATCCTGATGAGCAAACACGCCAAGGATGATTATGTGTCTATCAGGCCATTTAAAGGGATAGTTCACCCATAAATTAATATATTGACATTTACTTGTGCTCAAGATGTTTTAGAAAGTTCTGTTAGTTTGAGTTTGAGCTTTTACTGAGTCTAAAAATATCTGTTAACAGTTTCTGTATTTTATGATTCACAAGTGTTTTTCACTCATTTATGGTTGTGAATTGCATAATGGCATGTTGATCTCCTCTGGAGTCAATCTAGGGCCATATATTCTTGCAAAATAAAAATAAAAATTTGCAAACAAAAAATGAAATATTGAGAAAAAATAAATAAATAAATAAATGCAAATATTCAAAAATCGCAAAGCCAAAATAATTTTTTGAGAAATAAACATTTATTTTGCTAACAAAAATAAAGAACTGCAAAGGGAAAATTACGTTTTTAGAAATAAAAGTGAAATTTGCAAACAAAAAAGAACTGCAAATTAAAATCAAGCAGTGCAAAAAAATTTGCTATTAAGAAAAAAAAAAAAACGATATATTTGAAAACATTATTTATAGCATCGCCTTTACAAAACCCGTCCAGTCAATTGCAATGCTCTTTTTGAATTGCTTCTCAGTCAGCCGTGAGTTTGCGATGCTGTTTTCACTTTGCTCTTCATGTTTCTGCACGTTTCACTTTGTGGCCCTGATTTGACTAGGGAGCGGAGTCAAAACTTGGGCGTTTACGGGCCAACTCACACTATGCTATCCGTACCGTGCCCAGGCTGGTTTCCTGGATCGTTTGAAAAGTGTGAGGGTGCTGAATCGGACTCAGGCACGGTTCACTTGGCCGGCCCTGGCCCGGTTGGAGGAGGTGGGCCTGAGGGCGGTTCACTTGGGCTTTGAAAGCAAGACGTGACTTTTAAGGGGCTGTTTCATATTGATTTATTAATCATTCTTACTGTTCAATGAACACAAACTGCCGTAGTTTATTAAACACGCAAACCCCTCACTGCACGACAACTAGGCACCTTCAGCAAACCTCCTCATTCCTGCAGCACATGGGCTTTATGATCGTTTATGAGCGCCAAAAGTGGCGGATCTGTTCACTGAAATATCTGACTGCGTGTCACCGCATCCCTAAGGACTGTTTGGCAAAATATTTGACTCCATGTCACTGCATATCAAACGACAAACAATATAACTAGAGAAATCTCCACTGTGCTGAGCAAGAGCGCTTACTGAACAGCGCAGCATCAATGACGTAAGTGTGCCCAGGCCCAATTGTAGTGTGAGTGCGGGCCGTCAGGGGAGACGGGAGGGGGGACAAGCGTGCTTTGGCCCGGTTCGAGGCAACTGTACATAGTGTGAGTATGGCCTACAGCAGGCCAGGACCTGCCTCCATTTTGGCCCTAGATTGACTCCATAATTTCTGCTCTGTCAACTTTTGATGTTGAAATTTCAAGTCTACAGTTTAACAAAGTGACTTTTTTTATGTTTTAGTAGTTTGAAATAAAATATTGTATAATAAAGTATATGCATAGAGAAATAAGTCTGTAAAATAACAGAAAATGTTTATTACAAGGATTTTGTACAGTAATATACAACACCAACCCAGACAATATATGACTTTAAATTATTAAAAGTATTAATAAAAGTCACTTTTTCAAACTTTTGAAGGTTAAAAACTGTTGGAAGAAAGATCAAGGGTCCCGAAATGCAATTTATACACATAAATAAAAGGGAAAATGAAAACATGAATCCCAAAGTAAAGAAAACTGCTAATTTACGGATATTGTTTACAGTGTTGCCTGAACTATTCATAAGTGACACTTTGTAATAAGGTTGTATTGGTTAATGTTAATGTATTTACTAAAATGAACAACAAATGTACTGTACATCTGTTACAGTATTTATTCATACAGTGTTTGTTAACATTTATTAATAAAAAATAAAGTTGTTTATTGTTAATTCATGTTAACTGACAGAATACATTAACTTATGTTAACAAGCATGAATTTGGATTATAAAAATGCGCACAAAAACCAAAAAAGTGCTGTCTGAAATGTTTTTCAGCCTCCTACTGTATGCTTATGTTCAGTTATTTCATATTAAGTACAAAAAATAATAATAATTTACTGCCGTAAAAGTAAAATAACCGAATACACAGGAGGCTGAGAAAAAATGAGAATAGGAACATTTCAGATGGCCTTTAGAGTCTTTTGGATCTGAACTCTTCAAGTATTGTTCATTATTAGTTCATTTTAGTAAACACATTGTGACCAATTCATTTATAAATTGAACTCTACTGAGTTTTGTGTGAGCATGTGAGAATGCATTTACAAAAACCTTTGAACTACTATGGCAAACAGGTTTCAAAATTAAAAAATTTGACGATACTGTCTTTGTTTAAATTAAAAAAATTTAAATTTGAAATTTAAATGTCTGGATTACGTGTTTAGTCTATAGGCGAGTATTTGATGACAAAACATGATGGACTACCAGACCATACAGTGTGTGTGCAGTTGCATAGTATTTATTTATAAAGTGACATCACCATCTACTGGCCTGACGTGCATTATGCAGGTTTGTTGTTTTCAAAGTTCCTTATGAAAAAAACTTCGGTAGAGTAAAATTCCCACCATATGATTTTTATTTTCTGATAATCTGTTTTGTCACAATTGAGAATGAGAATCTAAGTCAAGGCATGTGTTCCAACATTTTTTGACACGCTCAGGAGCACACAATTTAAACTAATGCAAATCACCACAGAAAAAGCCGATTATCTCATTGTAAGGGCGAAGCCAGTTTAGAACTCTAGGGGCCCTAAACTAAACTATTTGCTTAAGGCCTCTTTCAGTGCTTTAACATAACCCAAAATGACCCCCAAACCTTATCTGTTATCTCAGGGCAGTTTCAACAAACAACAGTGAGTTTAAATCAGGGGTCCCCAAACTTTCTCTTATGAAGGGCCAAAATCCAAACTTGATTGAAGATGGTTGGCCGAAGCTAAATATACCAAAGTGTATAACATTAACTTCCTAATTTAATAAAATAAAAAAATATATAGAAAAAATACATTAATCATATATCAATGATTAGATATATTGTACATTTTATAATGTAATTCTGACAATAAAACCATAGACAATCTCATTTATAACCCAAAATTCTTTTTTTTTTTTTTTTTACATGTACAGGGGTGTCCAAACTCGGTCCTGAAGCGCCAGTGTCCTGCATAGTTTAGCTCCTACTTCCTTTAACACACCTCCAAGGAATGTTCTAGTTTACCTAGAAAGAGCTTGATTAGCTTATTCAGATGTGTTTAATTCAGGTTGGAACTAAAATATGGAGGACACCGGCCCTCCAGGACCGAGTATGAACACCCCCATACTAGACACCGAAATTTATGCATTCTAATAGTGTTTTAGCAACGTGCCACACATATATATCTGTCAACATCTGAAAAAAAATGTGTTTCAGGATTTCATGACCCTTTAAAAAATCTGAGTAATTCACAATTAATTAAAACATTTAATTTCAGTTTTACTTTTTTTTTTTCTATAGCTCAACAATTAAACAAGCAAACAAAAGGTTATGTAAAATTAGAAATGATGATCTCTGTTTGAGGGATTTAACCCCCCTTCCCCATCATTTGTCCTTCTCCTCTCTGTTTAGTTGGTGGGCCAAATTAAAGGTTATAATGCGCCAACTTTGGCCCACAAACCCTAGTTTGGGCATCTTTGGTATAAATAGTAATATAATTAAACAAGGAAGTTACAAATAATCTCTGTATTAAAAAAAGACTATTTTGGGCTACAATAAATAATGGCCTAATATACAACAATTGAATGAAGTAAGTTTTTTTTTTGTTTAATTAAAATGTCACTGTAAGTAAATAAATGTCACTGTAAGTGCACAAAGCATTTCATTATTGTGCTGACAGATTGCGTTCATTTCATTCATAACTGTCTGTATTACTGTTTGTATGATGATGTATACAGTATTTAAATATATTTGTATTTGTGCATCACTTTAAATGCAAGGAAGGGGGTGCGGAGTTGTGTTTTCATACACTGTAAAACTCAACAGTCAACTTTATCAAATTAAATGAGTGTAGTTAACTCCAAATTGACTGAAAGTTAATTCTACTTATTTGAAAAGACTATTGAACCCAGTGTTGAAGGTAATGAGTTAATTAAATACCTCATTACTTCAACTTAAATGGAGTAAGCTCAAAGTACTTTATAGTACTCAGTTGGTTTGAGTTCTCTTCATTAATTGAGTTATTAATTTAACTCATTAATTTACTGTGCTTAAATGGCTTTGTTTACTCAAATGGATTAAGTTCACAGTACTCTTTAAGATTAGTTTTTGAACTTAAATGGTTTATTGCAATCGGTCAGGGGTGCTTAATCCTGTTCCTGGAGATCTACCTTCCTGCAGATTTCAGTTGCTACACATATCAAACACACCTGCCTGTAATTATCAAGTGGTGTTCTGGTCCTAATTAATTGGTTCAGGTGTGTTTGATATGGGTAGCAACTGAAATCTGCAGGAGGGTAGATCTCCAGGAACAGGATTGAGCACCCCTGCAATCGGTTTTCTCAAACGGTTTGAGTTACCTTAACTTTTTGGGGTTTTACAGTGTAATTGTTGAAAGCCAGAATCAAACATTTTAAAACATTCTACATACATTTTGTTAAAGAATAAATGATGAGCATTTAGGGTAAGCTACACCTTTAAATTTAAGTTCATAAAAGAATGCTTGAAGTTTTTAGCCACCATTATCTTCATAACATTTCTTTCGTCAATTGGTGAACTTTGTTTCTCGCCACTGTCGCCATTGGCTTGCTTGGTTTAGGACTTGTGGAGCTAGATTTGCTCCTCAGTGTTTGGACTTTCATCAGTAAAATTTAAACCACACTGAACTGAACTAAACTGAACTTAAACTCTGAAAACTGGACTGACAGTTTCAATATACCATGTTCTATGTTAATCTGCTTTGACACAATCTACATTGAAAAATCGCTATAGAAATAAAAATGAATTGAATTTAATTGAATAAAATCATTCATGTATCAGACTCACCATAATGTACATGGCTCCTGACGGCATCACTGGATTCAGGCCGGAAACGGTTGACAACTCTGAGAAACATATCTCTGAGTTTGACTAAAGACCAGAAGAATAGTGTTACCATAAAGATCAGATGCTAAATCTACTCGCTTTTTGTTTCCCTGTGAGTTTCCTCTTACCTTAAGGAAGCTGATGGTGCTTTGGTAGAACTCTGGTGGCGTCTCATTCAAAATGCTCTCTAATGCCCCCTGAACCACAGTACAGGGTCCCAAAATCCGCTGGCTTAGTTTCACAAGACCCTCTCGAATCTACAGAGAATGTTTGCATTGTTGGCATTATTGGTTATTAGTGCTTGCATGCTTCTTTTCCTGCTGCAGGTATGAGGATAATACTTACTCCGGATCCAAATATGTTGTTGCGATCATGGATGAGGATCCAGCCCATCCTCCAGCCAGGCACCAACCAGCGCTTGGCCAGACCGCCACAGGATAGGATGGGCACGTCACTGCTGAGAGGTGCCAAAGCCCGAAAATCACAACCAGGAAACACCTGCAGAATGACAGATGCATCAAAGTAAATATGGAGACTCTTACAAATCTGGGGTAACAATTTATTATTATTTTTTAAGTCTGTTATGCTCTCCAAGCCTAATAATAATAGTGTGAAAACATTTATATTAAGGAATAGTATTATACATTAACGTGACTGTTTTTTTTTTTAAACCTAACTGTTTTCTTTTGAAATGCAATTTTTTTTCTGAGCTTTGAGTTTTTGTCTTGTTTCTAGTTCAAAAATCTAAAAATTCTTAAATCAAGAAGCATTTTCTAGTAAAACATACTGTTTTTAGCTTTGAGATTATTTTTGAATATTTGAGGTTATTTTGCTTACCCCACTAGCAGCTTAAGAAAAACTTAATTTTGGCATATTATTTCTTAAGTTTAGTTTATTCATAAACTAATTTCGAGAGGAGCTTGTGATTATAATTGAATACGGCTGGTTCTGCATTAGCATGCATGATCCACCAAATCAGGCCATTCCTAACCCACTATAAAGAGCCAGGGTTTTTTCACTACAGTCATCTTCGATTTGAAGAATCCCCCCTTCCACCCCTACCTTTTCACCTTTCCCTCCATAGGGCAGCACGGTGGCCCAGTGACTAGCACTGTCGCCTCACAGCAAGAACGTCACCGGTTCTAGTCCTTTAACAGGCCGGTGGTTGTTTCTGTGTGTAGTTTGCATGTTCTTCCAGTGCTTGCGGGGGTTTTTCCCGGGTCCTCCGGTTTCCTCCCACATTCCAAAAACATGCACAACAAGTAAATTGATAAATCTAAATTTGCAATACAGGTAATCTCTCATAATGCAGCATATCTTTTAATAGCATTCAATTTTTAGTCATCAGCTCTTATCAAAGGGGAGTTGTCGAGATCTACCTGAGCTCAAGGCTCCCCTCTCTTCCTCCAAATGGGAGGGAGCCCAGGGCTCAAGAACCTTCGAGCTTAGGGCTCTCTCCCGAGACAGCATGCCAAACTTGCTTATAATCAATCATCAGCTAAGTGTGAACTCTTGAAAACAAGACAATATGTGTTAGGACTGCGTTGTGTTGGTTTCTGTTTTTTGTATGTTTTGTCTGTTGTAGGTTGGGGCATGCCTTCAGCGCACCTGATGCTCGTCATTGCCTTTATTTAGACGCAGTGAGAGAGTTTGTCAGGGCCGCTGTTCATTCATTGTTTGGGCAGTTGGCCAGAGCTGCGCTCCAATTTGGGCTTTATGTTTTGTTTTGCATCCATACACTAGCACTGACAACACTTACAGCATCCATTCACTTGCTTTTCACACTGATTGAACATACTGATACTGATGTTTTGATTGTGTTATTTTAGATTGTTCATTCATTCATTTTCTTTTCGGCTTAGTCCCTTTTTTAATCTGGGGTGGAATGAACCGCCAACTTATCCAGCATATGTTTTATGCAACAGATGCCCTTCCAGCTGCAACCCATCACTGCGAACATCCATACACACTCCATCGTACACTACGTACGAATAACGTACACTATGGCCAATTTAGCTTACCTAATTCACCTATACCACGACTTTTGGGGAAACCGGAGCACCTGGAAGAAAGCCATGCGAACATGAAAACATGCAAACTCCACACAGAAATGCCAACTGACCCAGCCGAGGCTCGAAGCACTGACCTTCTTGCTGTGAGGCGATTGTGCCACCGTGACGCCGTGTCGTCTTCCTAATGTTACATCTTTGAGTCAGGTATAACATTGGGGCTCATCCAATGTAAATTGATTTGATTTGGTTTACATTAAACTTTATTTGCTTAAGTAATTAGGTAGGAGAGACCAGGAGGCGAAAGTATTTGTTGGAGCTTTGGCTTGGCCACTAGGAAAAGTTAAGTTCTTGTGGTTTAAAATTGTGTAATTGTATATTTTTCCCGGTTAGGGGGTAGCAGTGCATTGCATTTTTTATTTTTTATTTTTAATTTTTAATTTTTTATTTTTGTTTATTAATTTTGTTCGGCTTCTGGGTCAAATGCACTGCCGTGGGTTAGTTCTGAACTATTTGTTCAGTTCCGCGCCAGCAGAATTTGGGTGCTTTAAGGGGCTTGACTAATGGTAGCCCATGAAGACTAGGAATAGTTAGTTAGAATTTTTGTTAGGATTAGGTGGGAAATTAATGACATTGTAGTTTAGTTATGTAGGTTTAAGTAGGTTAAAAAAAATTTACTTATACGTCACAATGATTCATAGCGCAAGCTTTGTGATTGGTAGTTTGGTAGCGGTGACGACGGTGGATGGCGCAGTGAGTTCAGCATTGATGTTTAATAAATAATCGTAGATAGTGTGTGTTTACATTAATTATTTTAATATCAAGTAATCCACAAAATCTCTCACTTGAAACATGTGAGCATATTTACTGTGCAAATCTTGTCACTGAACTATGGGGGCAAAAACAAAAATTAATTGAATAAAATAATATTTTAATAATCGAGTTAAAATGTTCAATTAATCAAGATATTTAATCGAGATTTCAGACCAAATCGCCCAGTCCTAGGTTATAGGTGGAATAATTTGTTATGGTAATTTTGATTATCTTTTAGTTTTACTTGTCTAGAAAATGCTTCTTTATTTAAAAGTTTTTAGATAATTAGACTAGAAACAAAACAAAAACTAAGTAACAAAGTATTTATTTTCTCAGTATAGCATCAATAATAGAATAAGATTGCCTCCCTCTTGGATTTCAACACTTTTTTTGTGTTCTATCTTAGTTGCATTCTAGAATCTTTTACACACTCTTAAGCATTCACTGGATAGAGGAGCAAGAAAACCATAATAGAAGTTTGGAAAGGGGGGTATGAGAAAGTTACAGAAGTATTCAGAGAAAGAGTTCCTTCCTTGAAGCTGTTTTGTGGTTGTCCGCCTGGCTCTAATTACGATTATGGCTTCATGTCTGCTCGATGGATCCGCCCCATCTCCGATTGGCTAAGATGCTGCAATTTGCGATGCTGGCTCTATTACACAAGCTCAAACGTGGAAGTATGTTTTGTTGCTGTCGTTTTAACTGGATCCAGCCAGAAAGGCCACATGCGGTGCTCAGTACTGTACCAGATGGAGCTCAAAAACATCCAGTGAGTCAACATGCTACCTGCAATGAAACGAGGGGCCAGTGTCTCTCCCTGCCTTCTACATCACCTCCAATGCGTCACATTCATGCATGCACTAACTACAAACACGTGCCATGAAAACTGCTTAGTCACTGAGGCGCACTGAAACCATTTACAGTCGGCTAACAACAAACATGTCAGACCGCCTCCTTCCATTTTGTCAGACTAAATTTATTTATAAATGTGTCTGCATCTTTATAATAATATGAGTATTGGTTATTTATGATTATTACACAGCTCTGGAATACTTGATTCTGCTTGGCTAGTCAAGTCATTCCAAGGTATGCTATTCCCTGATTACAACTGCTGAAACTAATAAGCCTGCCTGACTTTATTCTGTAAGAACAACCATTTAGATGTACATTACTAGACTTAAAGGTTCTGAAATTATAAGAGATTTTTGTGTGTTGTGCATCAGTTAAGACAATGATAGCACCTGTCAGCTTTAATTGTGGGGAAAACGTAATAATTTTGGGCTTTTGTCAGCTAATTTCATCTTCCGGGTTTAAAATTATTTTTGAGGAGGGATTAAAATCGGTGACATTATGCAAATCTGCTAGTGAAGTGATGACGCGTCGGCTTCTCACTATTATTTATTAAGACCCTGCTTCTTCATTATTCATGACAGCACGTGCTTTCCGAAGGCAAAGCAGACCTGCCAAGCTGCGAGACCCAATTGTTGCATGTTTTCCCTGCAATTCTGTCATGGCCGATACAGCAAAGCTGTTGGTTTGCAGGAAGCATTTTTGTTGGGAGAGCTGTAGAAGAATTGGAGAATGGCGGACTTTGTCATTTATCAGTTTACTTCATTGCCCTTCAGACACATTGCCTATGTCCATGCTGCTGTGTTCGCCTATTTAAACAAATTCTTCAGATTACCGGCAGGACTAATAGTTGAAATAGATGGGGCAAGAGAGCTGCTAGTTACATGTAGATGTAACACATTTTACCTCCACATAGTGTTTTTTAATGTATCAGGTTGTGAAGTTGTTTCTAGTCACCATTATGGTGAATGGTATTCTCCTTGGTAAAGTTTTTTATATTTGATTTGATTTAATATAACTTGCAGTGGTTCTATATAAAAAACCTTTTCAGTTTTCTCATCAAACGTTTTGCAACAAGTTTACGTTAATGTCATCTTAAAAATCCAAGATTGAACTTAGCACATTTTTGACGGGGGTATGATATAAACACATATCAACTTCACCGACTACAGTATGTCCATTCTACAAGTTGAGCATTGGTTGACTCAAGTTTAGGAGCTTCCCAAACTTCGTATTTTATTTTATTTCATTTTTTGAGTATACCAAGGCGAAAAAAGCACCATGTTCCACTTTCCAAATTTACTTAGCCACTTCTATCGAGAGTTGTGGACCTGTTGCACCCAACTCGATCTTCACTGTCCTTCATGACCTAAATGCTGCCAATCCTCCATTCACCACACACAGACTCCAATCCCTCCAGTGCTGATGTGGTTTCCACTGCTGGTTGAAGCTGAGCTGAGCCAGGAAAACACATGCTACCCAACACAAAGATGTTCCCTAATTCCCTAGTTCCATACAGCTTCCAAAAGGGGAGTTCCAAAAGCAATGATTGATTCCCTAATCAACAATGAATCTTACAGCGATTCAGTCTTTAAAAACACATCTCTTTTCTTAGTATCGTTCATTCATTTTCCTTCGGCTTAGTCCCTTCATTCATCAGGGGTCACTACAGCGGAATCAACCGCCTATTTTTTGTATATAAATAGATATACAAACATAGATCCAACAATAAAAAGCTTTAATTTTAAGACCGTACTAAAGTTGCTGTGGTTGAGCGTCTTTAAGCAACCTAGGCTCAGTCGAATCATTTAACAAGGGTCAAAGGTGAGCTAAGAGTGTGAACTCTATTAGGGACCACTGTGAGAAGACGTGGTCTACTTGACCTTGTGAGTGCCGCATCAATGATGGTTGAAGATTTAGGGAGTTAGGACTATACATACTGCTATAGGACTGTAAATGCAAGTATACAGAAGTTGTTGCATTTGGTATGAGCTCACCATGTCTCCATAGATCTCATCAGCAAGTATAGGGATGCAGTTTCTTGATGCCACTAGAACACATCAAATGTTAGCAGTTTGATATTACAGGGATAAACATTTTTGATATGTTATTAATTAGAGTTAATCAGTGCATTCACCAGAAATGATCTTCTGTTGGTGTTCTTTGGTAAACACAGAGCCGCATGGATTAGATGGGTTGTTGACAATCAGACAGGCAGTTTTGTTATCGATCAGACTCTCCAGATGCTGAAGATCAATCTCCCAGGACTTCTCAGGCTAAACGAATCAAAGGTGAGAAGATATTCATCTTAGATACAGTCACAGTCATTTGACAAGTGTGAATTTCAGGCAGTGATGATAGTTCAGGAAGGATATTTTCCATAGGAATCATTTATGAGGTGAAAGTTAGTCAAGCATTTTTAGAGCATAGGATGTCGTTCACATTTATCATAATTTCACTTGTTTTAAACCTTTAAGAGTTTCTTATGATAAACACAAAATAATGTGGTAAATGTTGGAAATCAGTAAACATTCCATAGACTTCCGCAGGATTTGTTTTTCCTACTATGGACATCAGTGGTTACAGGTTTTCAGCTTTCTGCAACATATCTTGTGTTCAGCAGAAGAAAGAAACTCATAAAGGTTTGGAACCGCTTGGGTACACAACTCACAACAGGGCGAGTTAAAATAGTGGGTAACGCCTCATATTTGGGTGAAATATGGCTTTAGAGAACACCTATGTTACCCCTTTAAGATAAGCCTTTGGTGTCGTCAGAATGTGTCTATAAAGTTTCAGCTTAAAATACCCATCAGAATATTTATAATCTAGAATCTGCCCATTTTGGTGTCTGATGAAAATGTAGCTGTTTTTGTAGCCTGTGGCTTTAAATCCAAATGAGCTGCTTCTCCTTGCCCACTGTTCCCATGTGGATGTCTGCTTCTCATACATTACGTAAGATAAACAGCAGTCAGTGATAGAAACAGACACGAATTAGGCTAAAATAAAGGGTCAAAAATACCAAGTAAGTTTATTTGATGTATTTGTGGTGGAGTTTATTCAAGCCTTTCTGAAATGATGAGTCACACAAATGCAGTTTGCAGTACACACAAACACACATATGCACGTTTACTGACACCATGTGGTCGTGGTGATTATAGCGGTTAAGTATTATATTGCAATTTTACTGTCTTTATTACAAACATGCTCTGTTTGAGGTGCAGCTGATCACAGACGCTTGTAACAGTTCTTAATCCCAGTTTATTTGCAAAAAATGTTCTGTGGACATGTGTATACATGTTATTATAAAATCATGGCGCCTGTCAATCAATCGATAGGCGGGGAAAACCACACTCCTACGTCACGTTGCGGTGGGCCTCAAAATCACAGGGATTTAGGTCCTATTTTAAAATCAGTACATTTTTTAAAAGTGACTTGTGTTTCTATCTCTCCAATATGACAGTGGACACACTATATAGTGGACACACATACAGTTCTGTATACATACAGTTCTGTCCAAACAGTTCACAAAAGTTGATTTTCATTATAGGTGCCCTTTAATGAAAGTGAGCTGATCTGAAAATATCAGGTGTGTTTGACAGGAATTGCATAACAATAATATAAATTTCCCTACATCTATGGAAAAAAGTAATGTAGATTTTACCTTCAAAACTTGATATCTACTGTATTCAAAAGCTTACTTATTATAAACTTGCTAAAGAGAATTATATTAAATATAAATGCATCCCAATATGAACATGCACAAACAATTTCTTTACCTGAGATGTGTTGGAATGTGTAACACTTTATCATCAAAGTAAATACTGTTTTGTGCGTTTATCTGTCCACTCTAAAGTGGTAATAGCATGTGGTGTAAGTTTTTTCTTCTATTTATTTGTCCCAGATGTGCCCCATACTGGAATGTTGTAGCAGTTTTCCCCATTCACTGTCTAGTCTAGACCATCCACTTTATCCATGCAGAACAACCTCTTCCCACCCCTTTTGTTCTCATGCTTAAAAACAGCAATTTGCATATTTTTTCCTAAAGTTGTGGTGACACTAAGGTCCTTCTAAACGCACTTTTGGGTTAATCATTCTTCATTTAATTAAAACTGTTTACACTTTGTTTTCATTTATTGCTTGTTTTGCACTCTTGTATTCATGTAATCTGTGATTTACTCACCAGCAGATTGTAGTGCTTCACTTGGATGCCCATAGACACTGCCAGTGTCTTATAGAGGGAAAATCCTGGACGTGGAACTAGGATATTGTCTCCTGGGTTACACAACACGCTGATGGCCAGCTCTATTGCCTGACTACAACCACTGGCCAAGATCACATCCTACAGGTTTATAGAAAAAAAAAAACTTTACTCACATCATCATTAAAACTATATAAACTATTTGTAAAATTTACTTATTTAATTAATCACAATGTATGTGACACACCTTCCCTTCCAGCGGAGCTTCTGGACAGCTGTAGAAGTTTGCCACAGCTTCTCTGCTCTTTTGATAACCTGTTGAAGGTATTTACAAAGACACATTTTCATAAAGAGGAAAATCTTAATACGCATTTTATCAGGATGAAATTAAAGTATTGCAGTGTTGTTTAATACTTTTCTACTACATATTTCAGCATTTAATCTTCAGAGAAACTCAATCTCACCAACAGAGGGAGCATATCCATTGTATTTGTGGGAATCTATTGCATCTTTCATTGCATGCAAAACAGCGTCGTCTGTTGGCAAGTTCCCAAACACTGTAGGGTCACCTGGTGAAAAACAGCCCAAAAACGACATTTGCATTTAAAGGTTTACATTAAAGGTATTGCAGGTCTCATTTTGAGATTTTAATAGAAAACATGAAGCATTACATAAAATTAAGAAACTTAAATGCAGTGTAAAATGAATTGTAAAGCTGCAAACTACAGCAATTAAATACTACACTTTCTAGTTTCATGTAAATAATAATAATGATAAAGTAATACATAAACAAGCAAAGTAACACTATAATACCGACTAGATTACTAAATATATAACAAAATACATGCAGCAGGTACAACGTTTGTATGTGTTTGTGTTTTATTACTCTGCTACTGCATAGTGTGTGTGTGTGAGAGAGAGAGTTCCAACATTAAAATAATTAACCATATGGCTTTAATATAGTGTATTGTAACTATTTTCACAAGTGGCAACATTTTCTTGACTCTAAGTTGTATTTAAAAGTCTGAAAACGTACCAATGGATAGCGCAATCATGGGTTTCTCTGGGTTGGGGGTGAGTTTCATCCCGTCCACGATGGCTCGGATGGGATTGAGTGTTTTTTTGGACATCTCTGAAGGTCTGACGTTCCATCTTTGCCTGTGGCTGCCAGCCTTCAGTTTGGCGGGGTTCACGCTCACATGGGTCCGCACACTCACATGATGCACGCCATTCCCATTCATGATGCTTCCGTTCATGCCATTGCCGTGAATACCGTTGTTCTGCACTCCGTTCATTTTCACCACAAAAGACATTTTATTTTTTGGCTATGCACGTTTTGGAATGATGATGTCTAAAGAATAAAAGATATGATATTGAAAGTTAAATATGTCAATATTGACATCAAGTGATCACACATGAATAACTAGACTAAATTACATTAAATAAAGCTGTAATATATTATAAAAGCTGGATTCTGATTGGTTATAAGCTGGAAAAAAATGTTCTGAAAGTAATTCCAACTATATTTTAGCATACATTAAGATGTGATCCATTCTGCTGTTTGTATTTTAAACATTTTTTTAAATTATATATTTATTTTATTGTTATAGTATGATAATTTAATATATCGGCCTATATTCAAAACTTGTAAACAGTGTCAGTTCGAGTTTTCGTCTGCGCATGTCATTGTTATGTAACAGTATATGCTTGGGCTCCAGGTTTTCGGTTTGTCGTTTCTCTAGGTTAAAGGTATAATAAAGATTGATTAAAAAGATTGTTAAAGCAGCTGAATGTAGATGAAGTACCGATAATTAAAAGCCATGACAATATTGTAAAATACAAATATTCCGTCAGTGCAAAACCCGTTAAAATTGCATTTATGAATCACCATTTTTTATTTTTTGCTAAAAAACTTATTTTAATGTTCTACTGAAGGAAAAAGCACAGAGGGTGTGTATAATTAACAAACACTTCTTTTGGGGGGTGAACTAGCCTCTTTAAACTACCTGCGAAAACTAGACCAATGCTCTTAACCAACTGGCCTGAAGATGACCCTATAGCAGCAAAGAGCGCTTTCCATGCGGTGATAAGGTAAGCTTTGTTGGCAAAAATGGTGCATAAATTAAACTCCGCAAATATATAACTACAGCTTTTAGTTATTTATTTAAAACGTGCTAACAACATCATTATATATCTGGGTTGCAAAAGCCAACTGTGTTGCGTTAGATTAAATTTAATCGACAGCTGCTGCAGAATTTATATATATATATATATATATATATTTATATAGTGCGTCAAAAAATTAAGCTACCACACTAAATAAATCCTGGTTGCCTTTCATTTTTAGGGTCAACTGAACTTAATTTATGTTAAACTGACTTACAACTTCTTGCATAACTTATGAAATTAAGTTAGAACATGATTAACTTAGCTTAATAAGTTATAATGACCTAAAACATATGTTGTCAGCACTAATTGCTCGTATAATGTTTTACAATGCAGAGAATAAATGTCCATAAATAATTGAAAAAAAACTGCACAGCAAAATATAAAAAACAAGTATATCACATAATAATAAGAAATTATATTATATTATTATTATAACATTACAGCAGAACTTTAATATTGTCTAATATTTAACATACCACTGATGTGAGACGATTAAACAAATATTCAAATGTAAGAGAAAGTAATGTGGATTTAAATTAGCATCTATTTCTAAATAAATAGCCTAAATAAAACATTAAATGAATAAGTCTATTGTATGTGCTAGTTTATAATCAATTTAACATACCTTATAAGCTTGCTCTTTACAGAAATCACGCTCCAAGGCGGTGAATTAGATTAACAGGTAAATTAGTGCATGGAGTGATAAAGTCGGTGCAAAGACCGGCTTTATACAAAACCCCTCAAAATGGGTGTTAAACCCTGCAAATATTTCCATTGGCGGAGACTGAGGGCAGCGCAAAACTCCCCCGTTACATCAGAAGTGTAAAATTCTATAGTTTTGGGGTTGAACCTCATCCTCCTCCTTCTAGAACCTGCGGCGAGCCTCTGATGCGTCTGTCCGGTGTTTATGCACGCGATCTGATGCGCAGTCGATCCTCTAGGCACAAACAAGTGTTATTGATATGCATATATTGCTCAGTGAATCTTTGAAAGCCTTTATGTTTCCCCTTTAAGTCCCATATTCTCTCATCATTCATTATTCATTTTTCTTAATTAATTTGCTGTCAAATTTCCATTGCGCGTTAAAATCAATGACGCATAAGGAAAGCAAATGACATTTCAGTTCTGTTAATAAAGTACATCTTTACTGTCTGCAAAAATCAAGCATCATTTAGAGCTTATGCACTACAGATGTAATGACGTCACACATTACATAAGTTAAACTCACGTTTCAGGGAGGATGGATGGAGTGGTTTTATTAGTGCCAACGCTGAAACTATTGGACTATTCTGCTGTTGTGCAAGTATAATGAATTTGGCTGTGCAGGACTTTTGCCAACTATTCCAAATATGGAAAGACCAAGACTGAACTTAAAGACACTTTCTTGTAAATTGTTTGTTGACCGCACGTTCCCCTTTTTAGCGCATTGAAAATCTGTATCTTCAAATGCTCTATCCAGGTTTTTAAATTTCTTGTGGTTTTCAGTCAAAACCATATTGCATTCTATCAGGAAATAATCATTTATGAGTGGAAAATTTGTTTATTTCTTGCCATTTAAAATGACACATGAACCAAATTATGGATTAAATATTTAAATATATGAGAATTTTGAGAACTTGTTGGAATTTAGTTAATTTCCTTTTACATATATGCTTGATCAGATTAACAATATGTTTATATTACAATGTGTTTGTTAAGTACAGGCTAAATTAATTATTTATCTTGCATAAATGTTCACTTTCAGATGAGAAACAGTGATCGATACTTCAATACAATTTTAACAGAAGTAGAATCCTTAACAAAACCCAGTCCTAAGAGTGTATTATGTCATTTTTTTTTTTTAAATATTTAACGTTTTCTGACCCTGATACATTGCTGCTTGACAATTACATTTTTTATGTTCAATTTACTTACATTTGTAAAAACAATTAAGTTGACTTAATTGATTTGAGTTGGGACAAAATGAAGGAATTATGTGGAACCCAACATTTTTTACAGAGTATAACAAATAATTGTACAAAATGTACAACATGAAGGAATTAAGTTATCTTAGTGAAGTTTATTTATAAACTAATTTCGAGAGGATCACGTGCTTATGATTGACCACGGCTGGTCCTGCATTAGCTAACATATGATTCACTAATCAGACAATTCCTAAGTCACTATAATTAACCGGAGTTCCATAGTCATCTTCGTTTGAAGAATCCCCCCTTCCACCCCTACTCCACCTTTCATATGGGCCACACGGCGGCCCAACGATTAGCACTGTTGCCTCACAGCAAGAACGTCACTGGTTCTAGTCTTTACCAGGGCAGTCGACATTTCTGTGCAGTTTACATGTTCTCTTCATGTTCTCCCGGTTTCCCCCCACCATCCAAAAACATACGACTTAAGTTAATTAACTAATCCAAATTTGCACCATAGACATGCTTCTTGAAAGCAGTTATCTCTTTATAGCAAAACTCTAATTGTTCATTAGCTACAAAAAGCAGGGGAGTTCTCGAAATACCTAAGCTCAAACACCCCTCTCGCCCTGCAAACATGAGGGAGCCCCGGGCTCGAGGATCTTATGAGCTCGGGGCTCTCTCCCAGGACAGCATGCCAAACACGCTTTATAATCAATCATTAGCTAAGTGTGAACTCTTGAATTATAATTTTTTTTATTTTTTTTATTTAGTTTTGTACAAATTTATGTGAATTGAACTTAAAACAATTAAGTTGTCCCCCCCCCAAAAAAAACATAAAAATTGTGTTACAGCTCAATTTAAACAAGTAGTATCAACAAACAGCAAACGTCAGTGCTGGTTCAGTTTTAAAGGTTACGTATAGTAATGTTTGCATCAGGTTATGTTAAAATCCAGGGTTTTACAAGCACACGCTTTTGTTAACTTAGAAAAGCTATGCATATTTAATTTAATAATTTTAGCATCTCTCAAAACCGAATTTAATGCATTTTAAGGGTTAACAGGACATAGAGTTGAAAAATAAACTACTTGTTTGGGATGTTTATGATGAATTTGTTTAATAATTTCGATCAAACAAACCAAGTGATTCTAAGACTGGTTGATTTAGAGAGCTTTAGCTCCAATACAATAGGGTATATGCCGAGCTAGTGCTGTTCCCATGCTGATACACTTCCGGTGACCTGTTATTGTGAACTTTCTCATTTTATACGGTTCCTTATACAGCATCGATGTTGTAATGTCATTAAAATACATTCAGTTAAATAAACTGTAGTATTTAGTTGCTCAAGCGTAAAACGAGACAAAAAGCCGTTTACTCGCACGCGCCCGTCAGAATCGGCAGGCTAACGCAGAAGCTCCATTGAATATACCAGGGTAAAATAAATGCTCATATTATAAAGATATGGCGGGGGAAAATGTAATTCAATGCAGTGCTTCTTGTACAATCTGACACCCACTTTAAATCGGATATCACTCAGCTAGTGGAGATTGCTGATTTTTAAAGAAAACAGACCTTAAACGCACCGGATTCTGCATTGGCATTCAATTCGCCGGAAGCACTTAACCCAGGTTAATGGCAAATTAAAAGTCCTATTAGCATGCTTCAGCATATACCCCATTACACTTCAGTTGTTTCACATTAGATAAACAGTCAAAATTTATTTGAACAACATGAGGTAAATGACGACAACATTTTAATTTCGCATGAAACATGCCTTTAATAAAATGTCACCTGGTTCAAAAATAAATAAGAAATATCTGCAACTTGGCAGTATTAATTCTTTCAAACAATCATTAAAAACACCTCCAATTACTGTATAAATTAGACACAACATGCACACGAGAACAATATCTGATGCAATAATGACCAAGAAATTTGCAATCAAGTTTACACTAAAGTCAGGTAAACAAACGTCAGACTGGAAACTTTTACCTGGGAATAACCTTGAACTTCAAACCCACAAGTCTTTCTTTTTTTTTTTTTTTTTTTTTGTTACTTGGCATAAAAACTTATTTAAAAAAACCCAACACGTACACACAATCCCAAATAAGAGAGTCTAAGAGTAATCTTAAAACACTTATCTGGCCTGATGTACTAAACTGATGGTAGGGTCAATGCAACCGTGGCATTGTAAAAAACTCACCATAATACAAAACGTCTGTCCTTACATAACCCTTCCAGGTCAATTAAGGCATGTCAACATGTATCTGCTAAAACACACCATCCAGAGGCCCAGTGATAACCCTGACCCACCATAAGCATCACTAAACCAACAGCGCACAGCCTTCCCCATTAGAAACCGTTTAGAGTTATACCCGCGCGTCATAAGACCTTCTGAACAACATGCATGTTTTGTAATGACTGATTACAAAAAAAAAATATACAGGACACAAATATTTTGACATTTACTCTCATGTGCTTTAAGGCAAGGAGTTTGACCTTCCTGAGGTAAAAATAATGCGAGTTTATTTAAACATCCGATTGCTTAAATCGATATCAGAGTACTTATGCAACTTAAAAACATGACAAACACCACGTTTACTGGCATTTCTGCTCGACATTTGTGTTTTTAGTCTCTAATCCAGGTCATCAGAATTAAAATACAGTATGTTTACATTCAAGGGCAAGTTCCCAACAACTTGAACACCCGTAAGAAAATAATCTTCGAAAGACAAATTAAGATATTTCTGATCAAATGAAGAGAGGTCTCATTCTCCTCTCAAAGATATGTTTTAAAACAAAGAGATCATCAAACAATGGCTGTTTCTCAATTCCAAGAATGCAGAGAACGGACTTGCGTTCTCGTAAAGACCGGTCTTGCCAGTTGTCCTCGGAAGAACGAACTCGGGAGACTGCGAGAACAGAAAAATGAGATGCTGCATTCTTCATGATGGTCACATGACCTTCACGAGTTTTTAAAAAAAAATTATTTAAACATTACAGCACTCATACAACGATTTATTGTTTTCCCCCTATACTCTACATAAAGAATTTACAAATATCCCTTGCACAAAATAAATAAAACGGATTTTATTATGAATAATTAAATACCCTTAATGTGTTGTTTTCTTTAAGAATTTCATGGTCATGTTTATATTCACGGTTTCAATTAGGGAAACTCCTGAGGTAAATAAGTGATATCTCTGAACTTTAATAATAAACGTATATAAAATGCTGCGCTTCCCACCTCCAGTCGCAATGACTTCTAAGACTTCTAGAGCAAGTTTGGTGCTCAAGTCTGCAGCCATGCGTCCTCGATATCAAGAACACATCAGGGAAGTTTCACGCGTCCTCTGTTCTTGCGGTCTTGAGTATCGGAACTGAACTTTGGTGGTTGATAATGATGTTACACGAGAACACAAGGACGCAAGACCACTGAAGAACGCATATTGAGAATCAGCCAATGTGTAGAGCATTTAAATTTAGTCATGGAAGAACAATCATGCTTGCCTGATGCGCAAGAACCAATGAGGTTCATACTTGTGTGTCACGTTAGCATCGGGAGCCAATGAGACTTGTTCTCAAGACTCAAGCACTTGAGCTTCTGTTCATTTTATATATACTTATAAGTCATTCATTCATTCATTCATTCATTTTCCTCTGGCTTAGTCCCTTTATTCATCAGGGTTCACCACAGAGGAATGAACCGTCAACTTATCCAGCATATGTTTTACACAGTGAATGCCCTTCCAGCTGCAACCCAGTAATGGAAAATACTTATAAATGAATAATTGTTTTTAGGCATTATTTCATGAAAAATATTTTCATTTGTGTCGCAAATATGGACACATTTCTTTGGTGTTTGACATAACACAATGGTGATGATAAAGAAAATGACAGAATGTTTGATTTGCTGTGAAGTAAACATTGTGTAGTGATCATCTACTACCCCTTGTTGTCTTTCTAAAATGCCATAGACTATAAGACAGTTACTGATTGTTCATGATCTAATTAATAATAATTTAATAATAATAATAATCTGTTTGGTTTGTTAACCATCTAAAATATGTTCTGCATTGATTTGATCATGTGTCATTTGCTTTGAGACTGTGAACTGTGATGAGGAGGATGACTGTTTAGTCGGTTTAGTATCCACTTGGACTGCATGAGTAAGAATTAACTCTCCGAGGACAGTTTCAGTTTGGGTTTGTTGGATCTGCTCAGTTTGGTGAAGATGACAATAACTACAATCTGAGTTGATTTTTGGAGTGCAAAGTTGCTTTAAAGTTGTGGACTGAGGTCAGTAAAAGGACGTTTGGAGCACCAAAGGTGAAGAAGTAACTTGTTTCACTGAGTTCATCGAGAAAGTCTCACACTTGATGGACAACATTAAAATGTTGATTTAACGAGAGTTTGGGTGTGCTCCATGGAGTAAACCAACGCGGTTAAGAAAAGACGTGCACACAGTTCTTCATATCTAATGAGAGTAAATTTAAACATCCAATGTAAAATGCTAAAATCAATGTTGGAGTAACTGATAGAGACCACATTCACTGGCACTTTCTTTTTGTTGTCGTTTGTTCTAGTCTTTTTTTAGATCTTCAGAGACTGTTGATTCTGAATCAGTGAAGTGCACTGTCACAATCAAATAACAAGCGTCTTCAGCCTATTTTTCTCCCAAAATGTCGTGGGGTTTGTTTGAATTTGTGGATTTGGCTTGCTGTTCCTTGCTCATTCTTTTAAGTCTCACTTGTGGTTGATGCAGCTTGGACTACATGAAGAAGCTTTAACTCTTTAAAGTCAGTTTCAGGTTGCGTTTGTTAATACTGCTTGGTTTGGTGAAGACAATGACAGCTTAAAATCTGTCTTGGGTTGATTCTTAGCAAGCAAAAATGCTTTGAGGCTTTGGTTTGAGAGAACCAAAAGTGAAGGAGTATCTTGTTTCTTTGAGGACAATGGTGGATAACGCAATCAACTGTTTCACGTGATCTTGGGTGCTCCATGAGGTAATACAACGAGGTAACAAACAAGCAAAAACGCATAGTTCCTTAATCCTATGCAAAGCTAATTTAAATATATGCACAATGTAAACTGCTAAAATCAATGTTTGAGTACCGACGCATGTGCAAAATCTAAGAAGTCCACGTTCACTAGCACTTCTTTTTTGATGTCCTTTGTTTGTCACCTCTAGGCGTGTAATCCGGATCATCACAATCTGTCGAGTCTGAATCATCTGAGTATGAATCAGAATACAGTGCATTCACATCATATAAGATGTATTCATCATCTTCAGCCTCTCGTTCTTTTTCTAAAATGTCACAAGCTCCGTTTGAATCCATAAGTCTGGCACACTCTTCGTTATTTATTCTGTGAAGGCACACTTGAGGTTGAAGCCACCTGGACTGTATGAGGAAGCTTTGACTCTCTATGGACAGTTTCAGCTTGGGTTCAATGGTTCTGCTAGGTTCGGCAAAGACAATGGGAGCTAAATCCGGTCCTTCATTGATTCTTGAGGTATCTAGTTGCTCCAAGGCAGTGGATTGAGATGGTGAGCAGCACTGTTGTAGGAGTGAAGGTGAAACTGGTGTCGTTGAGGACACTGGTGAACGACTGACCTTTGAAATGTTTGTAGAGGATGAATCTGGGTGCGAGGACAATGAGTGCTGGTTTGGAGATGCTTGTGGTTGAGGTGTGTGCGGGAGAAATGGTGGAGTGCTTTGGGTTGATGTTGGAGTGCATTCTACCTGTACGGCATCTCCATCAAGCTCTTCAGAACATTCCTGAAGAATGCTCTTCATTTTTTTACCATGTCTGGAGCACGTCTGCTCTGTGAAACCAGTCTCGGCTTCCTTTATTTCCGGTTCAGCTTGAGTCTTCGCAAGTCTGTGCTTCCCAACCAGATCTTTCTGCACCAGAAAAGACTGGGTCAAGTTATCCTCATTGGTTTCAGAACCTGACAGCTGGGTGGATGTAACTCTGTCAGAACAAATCTCCTTCTGAGGTAAAATATTTTCTGAGTTTTTATGTTTCCACAAGCCCTGGGAGCCAAAAAGCTCTTTTGAGTTGGCTTGTGTGAGCGGATCCGTTGTCATGTTGTCCTGTGATGGCCTTAAAATGACATGGAGGGTACCAAGTAATGGTTCCTCAACTTCAGCATCCCTTTGTTCTTCAGAAGTGTTTGGAACTGAGGATGTGCTACTTTCTTCAAGATCCAGATTTGTTGTTGCAGCTGTAAGAAAGAGAAAATTGATATTGTATGAAATGTCAAAGCTGATATATTTACTTCCAAGTCTAAACTGTGTTTCTCACCGCAATGTAGAAGTCTTTTCAGAGCCGTGGCTAGAGATGCGCTGTCCTTTGAAAGCAGTTTCTTCAAAATCTTCTCTCCCCTCTCATATGAATGAGGCTGCTTCAGTACCTGGACAAATTTACAAGCATTAATTTTACACATGCATTTGACATATGTGTTTATCCAGTGCAACTTACAGTACATTGTATTGAAATTAATCAACATGAATAGACAGGTTCTTGCACCATGAACTACTGTTTGCGCTCAAATGTATGTGTGGATATAAGAATAATATGTAAAAGTAATGTAAATATATAATTGTAGATAATAGTCTTTGCTTTGAGTGAACTTGAGTTGAACTTGTTTACAGAAAGGTAAGGTCATTTTATTTGTGGCTCTAGAGAAAAATGAGTTTCATTTCTGAATATTTAAAAACAAATTTAAATAAATGTTTAAGTTAGTTAATGTCTATTCAGGTCCTTTTTTAACTAACACTCACTGCAGTTTAGCAGTAAGAAGCTACGATACAAATTATTGAGCTGGAGCTTGACTACAAAATTAAATCACAAAATCAAATCGAAATCGCAATATCTGTAAAGAAATCGCAATTAGATATTTTCAATAAATTGCACAGCCCAAGTAGGTGCCATAGAAATGGCCTTGCATCCATGAAAAGAAACCAAACAAAATATTCAGCATGTACTTTTGATGAAAAATCGATTCGAGTCTGGAACCTTTGTGTTTGGTTGGTCTCACATTGGCTCTCTGTAGCTCATAAGACACACAATTGTCTCTTTAGAAAGTCAAGATGAATGGAGCTTTGTTTGCTTCGTTCCAAAAAAATAGTTCTGCTTTAACTTTAACAAATCAAAAATCGATTGAGATACTGGAACCCCTGTGCTTGGCTGATCTCACATGTATTACGCACAACTGCCTCTTTAGAGTGTCTAGTTAATGGAGCTATGTTTACTCCTTTCTTAAAATCAGCCAGTAATCTTGAAAAATGCATGCAAGTTTTGAAGCAGACTTGCTAGCCTTTGATGATTCTAACTAACCTTTGTTTAATTCATACATCATACTTGCGTCTACACAGATAATACACTTGTGTGTTTAAACAGTTTTCATTAAAGCTTTTGTCAATGATTGCTTTTAAATAGCTATGAAGGTTTACATTTTAAAGGTTTCAAACAAGCAAAAATGTATTAGAAAAGGGTCTAACAATCCACCATTTTTTTATTAAAAATATGCAACAGCCTTGTATTTCAAACAAACTTCTGGAATTTTGAGTGTGAACACACTAATTACACTTTTTATACTTTAAAATAAAGTTTG